CGGTAAATTTTGTTTGCTCTGTTGCTCAAATGGCTTTGAGTTGATCGGATATTGTGCTCTCACTTATTGCTCTACCTTATATTTTGGCATTCGTACTTTTGCTTTACAAGCGATGAGAGTTTATGTATGAGTACTTTTTGCCGATACCAAGTACTTTTACCCGATACCTACTTATTGTATTTGGTAAAAGTATCGATGCCAAAAGTACTTGGTTTCAAGATGAAAGTATCGAGTACCTACTTGTATTTACTTGTATCGTAACATCCCTAGTTGTCCGTTAAACCTGGTATGTATGTTATGCCAGTAAATATTCTATTATCATTTTTATTTTTCATATTGTTGTTCGCTCCTTCTAGTTTGTTAATTGTTGTTGCTATGAATCTTTCTATGAGCGCGCCAGGGTATCCGTTTTTATATAAGATGGTTTTAATTTTCTGCTTGTTCTCTTTTCTGAACTCCTGGTCGCTGACTTTATAAATTTTTTTTAATTAAGTTCATGGCAGTATTTTTCTTTTGACTCCATGGGTGATTTGAATGAAAATTTATCATCCTAGATGAGGCTACAGCTTTTGAATACCAATTCAGTCTAATCTGATTATTATCTCGATGGATTTCAATAAAAAATCAATTTTTATTTGCATTTTTGAAAAGTAAATCTTTTTAGCGCTGAAAATGAATGAAATACATTCATATATATAAATACATATTTAAGAAAATCAGGCTTCCCGTATTAGGTGCATATGTATGTTAATATCTTCGTAAATATTACCAGACTCTAAATGACGTTTTTAAATAAGTACATAGGTACACAGTTTCCAACTTCTTTGTAAGAATCGATGAAATACCTAATTAGCGTGAACAACCACATTGTATATATTTTATAATTAAGATCAAACAATTAAAAATTGGACTGTATTGAACTTTATCGTCCCTCACCGCGAAATACCTCGTATACGCCAAAGCGCAAAAAACCGATTTTTTCAAAACTGTGGAATGGTATTTCCCTTGAACTTACTTACTGTAAGATTATTATTATTAATCTTAACTTAAATTAATAAAGAAAACAGTAATGGAAAAATAATAACCAAATCCCTTTTGTATTGTACATACATGACGTGGTATTGGATTCCGCATATACCAGGTATTTATATATGTACTATGTGAGTATGTATTCATTTAAAGTAGTCTTTAGCCTACCATTTATATTATGTATTCTGTATATTATAAAACAAATACATTCATATGTAAACAATATTAATACATTCATTCCAAATATTCTCACTTAGTTTCACTAATGAGGGTTCCACTGTTGCGGCTACTCTAATCAACCTCGACAGGTGTAGATGGGCTATGTCTTATAACGCGCCTAATTTAAAAGTTTTTTGGAAATCATATTATGCAAAATAAAACCAAAATTGTGCATTTTTTGTTCACTTATCCATAGCAATGAGCCCGTATAAATTAACTTGAAGTACCAATTTTGCGCGGAATTCTAATAATTTTTCGCGGCTTTTTAATGACTCTCGTATTATTCAAATGTCATTTCAGGTACATACTAGGGGTCTTCATCAAAAGTGATAAACTGTTGATAAACTTGATAAAATTATCATTTTGATAAATGAACAGTCAAACTTTGTATGGACATCTATTTAACGAAAGTTTATCGCTTTATCAAACGATTTTGGTGGTTAAACGTATAAATTTCAGCAAAATTCAACCCTGACAGACTGCCAGGTGGTTGATTTTGCTACGAACACAGAAAAAGCAAATTAGAAAAATGGACGAGGTAAGAATGAAACGTAACTAGCCAGATAAGTTAAATAATAAACAATTTTGTGCAGTTATTTACCAAGGTGCGTTCATGAAAGCGGAATAAACAATTTATCCCTTTACGGATAAACAATTTATCCCTTTACGGATAAACAATTTATCCCTTTACCACTTTAGATGAAGACCCCTACTATGTAGGTGTGTGCAAAGAACCGATCCGTTTAAAAAACTTGGCGATTAATTCACCACGATTTATTAAAGACATGGACCAATAGTTGCACCCTCGAACTTTTACATGTTCTTTTGCATATCTAAACACGTGATTATTATTGGAATAGGTCGAATCTTGAGATGCCATTTTAGCAGTAATAACTTCATTTAAATAATCATATTGACCAGAATAAATGTATTTTTTATACTATTTTTCAAAGATTTAATTATTGTATGTATAAAAAAATTAAAAACTACAGTAAATGTTTTAAAAATAACCAAAATGGGAAGGATCTTAACAACTTCACAGGCAAGAAAAAAATAACCAAAATTGGTTAAAAGTAACCAAAACGGCAACACTGATCCTATCAAATCTTTTCCAACCGACACGTCTAGGCTTGCACAAGCAGCCAAGCAAACAAATTTTCTCGCATGCGATACTCCCTTCCGCATGCAACTTTGATTACTCCGCTCTCAGCAAATAGTTTCACCAACTTTTGACAACTATTGTCAAAAACGCCGGCGGATAGCTTAAGCCGTCTTGCATCTAAGTTCATAACTTCCTTTTTCTGTTGGATGCTGAGCTGCGAGGACGTGTTGGATGAAAAATT